AGAAAGCCCGGTCAGCTTGAACTTCGGACTTAAAAATAATTCTTAAGACCGGCACAAAAATGGACATTATACTTTGATTATGATTGCATATTTAACACGTCATTCTCTTTTTAAAAGAAAACTTATTTGACATTAAAAAATGTATTTAAGAAATGGAGCCATTTCAGATAATCAAGCTAAAAGGAATGCTCAGCTGTGCCCGATACGTACGTATATCTGTACCATTTCAGTCTGAACCAAATCTTGTTACTATATGAAAGAAATATTAATGTATAAAGTAATCAAATTAAAATTATAGTATTACGTATTTATATATATATCTGCTGTCCTGAAGACTCATAAGGTTAGTAAAGAACTTAAGCTTGTAGACAAATTCCGATACTCATGTTGTCTATAATATGGGGCAGTGCCTGGCACTGACCATCCCGGGGGGTCTTCTTACAGCGGAAATCTCTTAATGTATACTACGCATACAAACCATTGTATGACGAAATTAAAATCACGACCTAATTACCGTCATGTCACTTTACTCACAGACACAGACTGACCAATTGTCTGGCTGACCAGCTGATCCCTGTGTCCAGGCATTACGATAGAAAAGGTGGCGTAATATTAGTCAAACCCTGGTACCCGGATGTTGGTCGTCATGGAAATAACAGTTCGGGGGATATTTAACAAACTTAACGAAAAGAGGAATTCGGGGAGTGGACAGACACGCACACATATATCAAATTTCTAATGTAACGTCGAATTTATTCCCTCAAAACGTCTCTAATTTCCGTCGGACTCTATAAATGTGGGATTCTGGGTCATAGACTTATCGCAAAACATTTTAAAATCTAAGTGACCAGTCATTCCCCCACCCTCTCACCAATGTGGTGAGGTCGAGTGTCCTACTATTGTGAAATTCATGTTTTTGTGATGTGTCTTCAATTGAATATATGTTATAAACATAAAGAAAAAACCCAAAAAGGATATTGCTATGAATGAGTACATAGACTGGACAGTTGACCCCGGTCCCTACGTGGTCACGGATCTTGACAAACACATGAAACATAAATTTAGCACATATAAATTGCTGTTGTTTATTCCTAGCCAAAAACAACTATTTAGGGAAAAAAATGAGACGGTTAGTCGTCCTGGCTTCGGTATCACAAACGTACTTAAGCTGAGATTTGAGTCCGATCTCAAGGACTCAAGCTCAGCGTCCGTATTTCGTTATCACAAACTAAAAACTCAGCTCAACGCCTCAAGCTGAGCTCAAAAAGCTGAGACTGCCCAAGAGCAGACTTAAGTTCGAACTCAAGCTCCGGAACGAAACTGTTTGCTATAAAATGGCAGGCTTGTAATACATAACAAGAAAATGCTTTAACAATATTGATTTGTCACAATCATCCAAAGTGTTGGAGACACACACAATCTTTACTAGACAATTATGCAGGTAAACCATAAATATTGTCAATTTATTTGCCATTTGTTGAAAATACAGTCGTTTTAATAAGCTGTGAAATGAGTCTGAGATGAATGGGGTCCGAATACGATAGCCCTGGGCCCGAGTGCGATTTGAAATATAAAAAATCTATGCGTTATAGTTTCCAACCAAAAACCAGAAAAACTGAGCATGAGATATTTTAAATGATGTATTTTCATGTTATTTTACTTTTTGTAAGACGATATATCGTGGCTTGTTTGTGTCCAAGTCGGACCAACTTTGGGCAGGTGACAGTACCCAAATCGGATCACCAAACCATCATTTTATTAAATCATTGAAAAATCTGAGGAGGAATTATATTCATTTATGGTTGTATCAAAAAAAGAATATCGATAGGTGTTCTCACAAACGAAATTAGCACCCGGGGCTCAATAGATATATATATAGAACGCTCTGAAGTCACCAATCAGCGTCTCTGGTTTTTGAGAATGTCGGGACTGTTCTAGGGTTGGCCTAAATTTATATGAAATGTTCTATCTTCTGTATTACAAATTATTTGGTCCAGTCAAAAAATTATAGCATATTTCTCATTTTCAATACTCACAGAAATTAAGCTTTAAAAGTAGTTTAATTGGGATGGTACACATAAATTCGCAAAAATATTTATCATTTTTTTTGTATCACTGCATGCTTCTTGACTAAGAAAGAAATACTATGGATGTTTTTATCACTAATGCTTCAAATCGGTATACAGTACACGGGTGGTAAACTTATATCTGCCCTATATCTAGGTCCCGCACCACCAAACACCTTACAACATAATTATGGTGTATCTCTACATTCGGGATATATAGATAAACCTGCTGGGAACCCTGCCATATCTAACAAACCTGTGAATGATTTCTACCCACACCTATAGACCGGGTAGAACATGGGGTCCCGCTGATCTGACACGCTGGGCGTAGGAGTAGTTACAATAATCTATTCATTGATGAAACTGTGGTAATGACAACGGAGAATATGGTCTTACAGCGAAGGTGTGGATTGACAAAAAGATGAACATAGATAAAAATATATCTCAACCGAAGGTTCTGAAGCCGACATTGGAATAAGATGTATCTAGATATAGTGTTGTCCGTCCGTTACGCAATTCTTTATCCAGACAACTATATATAGCCCTTCAGTTTCCTTGCTAGTTGCTAACTCTAACACCACCATCTTCAGACGTTGTTGCGCATCAGGCATATTTCAAACTATCGCTTTATTTGTGTTCGCTTACAATTTTGCCGAAAAATGGTTACCCAGTTTTAAGCCGATATTCGAAAAAATTGAGAGGATTTATCACAATCGAATGTAGGTTTGTCGGACATATCGACCACATTCTTTTACAGAGTTATTGTCCATTTTGTGTTTGAGTCATTCCAGTCTTGTCTTGTGCTGAACAGCAATAATCCATAGATTGCATTGAAATCTTTCATAAACTCACCCGCCATCATATATCTATATATCGAGCAACATTTGCAGAGTTATTGCCCCTTTTTGTTCTATTCGAACCGTATCCGAGAATTCAATTATTTGAGCTACAGACAGAAAATATACATGTGTGAATGTTTACGGATTTACATTAGTCTGTGACAATCAAAGTCCACACTCTGTTCTTTAAGCGTAATGCGAACGATACTAATTTCAAGTTGTCCGTAAAACTAGTCCCCTCTTTAACACAATTCAACGGCTTAATGAACAGTAGTTGTACATGACAAGTCGGTTTCCCGTGTGTATCTGACGGACCATCCTTGAGGTTCTAGGTGTTACGATCACTTATGTTCTTGACCATATATGAGCACAAAACCTGGAATTTCTAGGATGCTGACTGACCAACGGACAGAATACTACATGACGTAATCTGATTGTTACGTGATGACTAGATGTCTAATTGGTAGTTCATAACAAGAGCAAACGATGCAATTTCTGAGATTCAAACATCCTTAAAAACACGCTTTCAAAAGTAATCGACAACAGAAGAAGAAGCGTGATGGCGTTGATTCGTGAACAGTTTGTTTGTAACTCTAGTCACGGGGGGTCTGCACACTTCATTGTTACATTTAAAGTCTGGAATTCAAAATATTTGAAAACTCCTTATCATTGTTTGCAAAAATATTTATTATTCAGTTCAAAGGTAACAAGATGTAATAGGAATGTGCTGTAATATATATAACCGTTGTATGCTGGGATCATACTCTATACGATATGTAACACAATATCCCCCTCCTACACACGTAACCAATGAATTACATACGAGGCGTCTACCAGATTGATTTACGTTCTATACAGACCGGCCCTCTTGTCAACCATTAAAATATCGTCTATCGTACGGTATCTTTAGAGAACAAAAATTCAGGGCTAAATACAAGTCACACTGTCTCGTGAAATTACAATTACGGGATAATTACAATTCGAATACTGATCGTGACAGGGAATAGAGGTTTTGTTTTTCTAATTTATTTATTTTCGTAGCACTAAAGCCTGATGTCACGTGTGTGCGGCACTTTAATGGGTTTGTCACCTACGTCTCCATTTTTATTCAGTAACCAGATAATTTCATATTTTTTTATACATAATAGAATCAGTTAATCCTGCCAGAGTTATCCCTCCTGTCGCCTTCTAAAACATGTTTTGTGGGTATGTTCCCTCGATCATAAGTCCAGGAATACTCTCTGTAACGTTCTCTGTTAGTATTGTAGCATATTTTACCACTGTATTAAGACATTCATATTATGATTATCACTGTAATTAGTGACTTCACCCCCTGCCCCGCCCCTACTGACATCACTCAGGACAGAGACGTATGTAATATCACGGAGATATATATATGTGTCTCTGCTCAGGGGCGGGAAAATAAAATAAAAATGAATATTTCAAATAGTATTCCACTCAAAACATTCTTATAAATCACAGAGCTTTTAAATTTCTCTGAGGCTACGCTCCGTATGTATAAGATTATATAATACCAATTATTATAATAATATTTAAATACATTTTGTCTAAAATGTCTACACCCACGGAATTAGATTATTTAAGTCTGTGCTACATCGTAACAAATGGTGAAATTTGAAAAATTGAGCGCTTACTTGGCAATGCTTTCTAATTAGGCATTTCATCATTTCCCCCGAGTTAAGATGGACAAAAGCAGTAAGTTAACTAATTGTGTATCAAAACTGCCGTGAAAATGTTGCTTAAGTATTCGATGATGTTCAATCTGCATTGCCGATTCAAATTTTATTTTATTTGTCAGCGTCCCTGCACCGTTCCACACCATGATGGAAAAGGAGTTCACCAAAAGAATGTCAAACAAAAAAATCTGTTTCATAGAAACCGGTTCATGGGTTCAGTAATTGACGTATTCCTTACAAAAAAAATCTAGGACTCCTCTAAAGACTTTTCAAGCATGAAATTTTGTAATCAATCAACCAATCAGACGACAGAACGTGTGTCAATACTCTCCTCAGAAGAGGCCAGAAAACCACTGGTGTAATTTCGGAACTCTCGGATGTTATCCTCTTCGTTTTAGATAAAAAATAGAGACCCTCGAAAAACTTACCAACATGGCGTGGCCGGTAACTGAAGTTTTGTCGAAGATGCTTTCATTTTTTATCGTGGCATTATTGGTCGATAGAATTACAGGTATCTGACTCTTATCAAAAGACTTAACATATATTCGACAAATGTGATTCATTTTTACTTTATCTTGTAATTAAGAAAGATAATAACCTTGATCCCGTGTTGTTTACAATCCATGATTCCTGTCATCGTGTCACTTTCTAAACTGGGCAGGGTTAGGCAGAGGCGTTCGTTACAAATGTCGGGAGTTTATGCTATACTGATATGTGTCACATCACACATCAACATGTATGTTAGGGTTATACATGTTTAAAACGATTTAGTGACATAACGACAACTTGGTTGAGGTGTAAAGACTTGGAAAAAGGACGGAATAGTCAAATTGACGTGCATTGTGAATTATGTTAATTCCTTAGCTCAACAATAGAGTATCCAACTAGAATGTTTGTGGTCATTGTTTCGATCCCCAGTTAACGAAGTTACCTTTTTCTTTCTTTTAGTCTATTTCATAGCCAGAGGAACATGCATATTTGATTTAGAGTGAAGTGGAGTAAGATATTTTAATAGACATGCCTCTTACAACCAAGTTAATCGACTCGACACAGAGGGCTTTCCAATATCTTTAACAGGGAATCCGGAGCGTCTATGGCAACTATGTATAATATAGGAAGAAAATAATGATAGACAGTGTATGTGCATTTGCCAAAATCAGTCTATTTTATGCAGAAATGTACCTTAAAATACAAAAAATGTATGTATGGAAGAAGGAGAAAGGGTAAACAGACGAAGACTTTCAGGACATGAAATTTGTGTACAAATTTGTAGTGTTTACATTTACAAATTTATATTTACAGGTTTCGACTATGACTATGTTACCTGCGGTTCAAGTTTGAAGTTACTGAATAATCATCACAATGTTCGCCTACATTCTCATGACGTCAAGTATGGCTCTGGAAGTGGACAGCAGGTTGGTTGTTTTCATCATGTATTTGCCTAAAATTGACATTGGTTAACTTGCCATACTGGTAACCATATCTTTCAAAAATATTTTATCGAAAATTGATTATAGTGTTTTATCAAAATAAATGCTAAATCTTTTGAAAAAGTTAAAAGTATAAACTACTTTTATTTTACAAAAATTATGAAGCAAGGTATTTCAGTTTATATATATTAATCAGTCTTGTTGACCCATAGGTTAGCACCCTGGGGGTGTTATGTGGGAGGAAACTTGAGTACCAAACGAAAAACTGCGTGTTCGGGCAGAAGACTCCCAAACTCTGTAAACTCTAGGTCCAAATTTTCTTTAGCAGAAGTTGCTAAAACCCCCTATTTTTCTTTAGCAATTAAAATTGGCCTCAACAAACTCAAGAAATATAGTCTTTGATAAGTTTCCCAAAGAAAAATAGACATCATACTCACCTCTAACTTCTAAGAGGACACTCTGACCTATTTTACGGAGTGTGGAGATCGGCAAACTTGGACTGAAAACTTTTCAAAACTGATGAAATGTCTTCATTTAAACAATTAATAGTGATATGACCTCTTCACATGATTGTTTTAAAATGTTTGTGTTGATAATAATTGTATGTTTCATTGGGAAATCAATAACTTTTTTTATTTACCAAACACTTTTACAAGATGATCTAGATCTAACAAAGGATCATTGTCCTTGCATCTTCATTAAAATGATGGTGTATATAAACCAGAGGCTGGGGTTTAATTGATATGACAAATTGTTTTCTCTCATAATATTTTCGCACAATTTACAAAAAGCACTAATTTCTTTTCTACAATTAGTAATCAATATTCGCAAATTGCAGAAAATGCGATCGGTAGCGTTAGCAGAGCCAAATCAATATAGCTGATATTATTTACAGTCAGTAACGACTGGATTTGTTTATGCTAATAGACACGTGGTGATTTGTTTATGCTAATAGACACGTGGTGATTTGTTTTACAGTCGGTAACAGCCGTAGATTCATCAGAAGACCACAACAGTTACTGGCAGGTTCGTGGTAAAACTGGCATTGGCTGTACACGAGGGTAAGTCACACAGTAAATTTTCAAGATTAAAAAAGTCATCCTTGTACATGCATGTATCTTGTCAATTTTTAAAAAACAAATCATACAACAATCAAACCCATACAATGCATGTATCTCAAAGTGTGACTTTCTGTTTACAGGGAGCCAGTCAAGTGTGGACAGACATTGAGGCTCATGCACTTGAATACAAGACGTAATTTACACAGCCATCACTTCCAGTCACCTTTATCACATAACCTGGAGGTGAGCGCCTTCGGGGAAAACGGCGAAGGAGATGAAGGTAGGATAAAATTGTGAACTACATGTCATGTGAACACAAATATAAAGCCCCTGATCCTGTGAATTAAACTCTTTGTCTGCTGCTATCTAAACTTCCAGTCAGCAAACTCAATTATCTGGCCTGCTGTCAGTGGCACCTCCCACCTCACACATTTTAATCAAAGCTGAAGATATTTTGAATGTCGTCAAATATTTTCAATTACTTTATTTGATTATGAAATTTACCAGTGCTTGTATGCTATTTTAAATTGAAAGAATGTAATTTAGATAAGAATTATCTTGTCATAGCTGAATGAAAAAAGTGTTCAAGAAATAAAAAAGCTATAGAGCATTATCTAGTGGCCATCTGTAGGGGAGATTACTCAGCTGAGTAAAAAATGCTGTTTTAGAATTATAAATGCATTACAGGATAGGAGTTATATTTGCAGTGTAACAGTTATATTTAAGGGGCAGATGATATGTTTACATAGCAGAATGTTTTTAAACAGGACAGTAGTTATATTTACATTGGAACAATTATATTAACAGGGCAGAAGTGTTTTTTTGGACAGGACAGAAGTTATATTAAAAACCAGAAAGAATAGTACTGCAACAGACATGAATTACCCTGCTATTTTACATTCAATATATAGAGAGTAAAATAGTGTTTAAGGATTCATACAAAATACACTGATAAGTGGCTTTCGCCAATATGACATTGTGTGATATCTAGCTGCGATAATTATAACGTAGCTTCTGATGACGAGACTTTATAAGTTCACCTGGCCGCGAAGCATCGTCCCATGTCAATATTGTACTTTAAACAACTTCTTCTTAATAACCAAAAGCCCTAGGGTGATGATTAGGGCTACAAAGTTTGTTCAAATATATGACCTTCGCTCATATTCAAGGTCACAGGAGTCAAATATGTTAAAAACTTTTAACAACTTTTTCTGAATAACCTAAATGCCCAGGGTGATGATATTTGGCCAGTAGCATGCTTGGATGAAGGCCTACCAAATTTGTTAAAATGAATGACATTAACTTATATTCAAGGTCAAAGGGGCCATTTGTCTAAATAATACCTTTAAACGACTTTTTCTGAAGAATGACAATCTCTTGTATTCAAGGTCACAGGGGTCAATTGTCTTTAAAAACCTTTAAACAACTTCTACTGAATAACCAAAAGGACCAGGATGGTAATATCTTGTCAGTAGCATGCTGGGATTAAAGGCTACCAGATTTGTTCAAATATATGATCTTCGCCATATTCAATGTCACAGGGGTCAATTGTCTAAATAATACCTTTAAACAACTTTTTCTGAATAACCATAAGATCCAGGGTTATGATATCTGGCCAGTAACATGCTAGGATGAAGGGCTACCAATTTTATTGAATTTAATGACCTTGACCTATATTGAAGGTCACAGAGGTCAAATATGTTTTAAACCTTTAAACGACTTCTCCTGAATATCTTTAAGGTCACGAATGTTGATATCTGTCCAGTAGCCTGCTACGATGAAGGGCTACCAGTTTTATTGAAATAAATTACCTTTACCTATATTCAAGGTCTTAGGTGTCAAATAAGTTTACAATCTTTAAATGACTTCTTCTGAATACCAGGTAACCAAAAGTCCAGGGTGATGATATCTGGCCAGCAATATATATGCTAGGTGAAGGGTTACCAGGTTTGTTCAAATAAATGGGGTAAAATATGTTTAAAATCTTTAAACCGCTTCTTCTAAATAACCATGAGGCCCAGAATGTTGATATTTGGGCAGTTGCATGCTTGGATGAAGGGTTATCAAGTCATTTGATTGACGTTGACCCATTTTCAAGATCACATTTGGTCAGATATGTATAAACCTTTAAATGACCTAATCTCAATATACAAAAGGTCTAGGGTGGTTATATTTGGCAAGTTACATGCTGAGATGAAGGGCTATAAAGTTTGTTCAACGTAATTACCTTGTTCGAGGTCACAGGGGTGAAATGTTAAATCTTTTATCAGGTTCTTTTGAATGATAATAGTCATAAAAACTGATGTTTTCTGTAGCTTTATTTTAGATCACTTTTAATGTTACAAGTGTGAGATTAGTACCAGTTGAGTGATGCAGGCCCATCGGGCCTATTGTTACAATATATTGAGAGTAAAATTATGTTTAATACATGATATATACTGATAAGTGACTTTCCCCAATGAACCATTGAGTGAAATCCTCTCCAGTACGAGTATAATTATGCAATTTTTAAAATCCTACTCATCATTGATATTTAAACATTTACAGGAGACAACTGGGTGATTGTCTGTGCAGGAAAATACTGGAGCAGAAAGGAAAAGGTCAAGATCAAGAATGTTGTTACAGAATAGTAAGTGACCTTTGACCTTAAAAACTAAATTTATGTATAATAGGAAGAAACCCAATACCCTTAAATCACTGTAATGAAAAGAAAGTAATCTTGTTACAATGGTCATATTCATTTAGTTACATTTGACCTTTCAATTTAACTCACATAACTTTGAAACACACAAAGTTAAATTTATTTTAAAAGCTGTACATCCTCAGCCTTATTCCTTGTCTGTCCTATTCTAGACTAGGGCTGTCACTGAGCTGTGAGCTCTTAACCCTCTTTATTTGAATGTGTATAAAATATTTCTAATTTTAACACAGTATTTCAGCACACAAAATGCTATGCCATATTTGCTGTTATAACTTATTAGCACCCATCGACCTTTACTAAGGTGTCCCTTTCCAGTTTTTGGAGGGAATTGACATTGTATACACCCACATCCAGACCTGACTAGACCCAATCCATCACTGATATATAGTACTTTCACTTTAAAGTGGGGTTTTATGTTTTAGCCAATTTTTAAGCACCCTCGGAACAAATTGTGCCAAATACATCAGGATTGTTTATAGAAACATATTTAATTTATACCAGGTACTATTTCATTTCTGCTGCAGTTATTTTAAAAACACATATCTTACATATCTTAATATTTTTTACTCCATTTATATACATGTGTCTTATTTTTACTCCAGTTATAAACATGTGTCTTATTTTATGCTCCAGTAATGTACATGTGTCTTATTTTATTTCTGCTTTAGTTATTTACACGTTTCTGGAGACACGTATGGACGGCCAATTCACGGACAAAGGGAGATAAGCGCGTATCCATCACCATCAGAACTGAATTACTGGCAGGCTAAGGAGGGAATCTTTATCAAACCAACATCGGAACCTTCCTCTTCAGGATACCATGACGAGTTATAGGGGACCTTTACAGAGCTGCTATGTAATCACAGAAAACATTGTGGGTTTATCGTCTCACGTGTCATTTCTGTATGGAGATTGATTCCTGGCTTTAACAGTGCTTATCCTGTCAATGAAGGAAATGGAAACCAGTTGATGAAGCTGGTCATAATTTTATTCCATAAAATTAAAATACCCACATTGGGTTCCATAGCACTGATTTTTTTGTTACATAAGAGTAAATGGTATATTTTAGAATGAAAAACAAACAAGTCTGTCCTATGATATGCTTTAACACTGATTTCCTTCTTTTTGCCGTTGAGGTGAAAATACAGTTAACAGAACCTATTTTAGGTATACAGCGGGCAAATATATTATAAAAGATCACAGGGTGAAAATTTGGAGGGGAAAATGTCTTTTTTTGTATTTATGTACATGTACTCAAAGATGGGTTCTCAAAGATTTGAACAATATTTCACTGCATGTATTTAAAAGATAAGTATAAGAATATTATTTGATGTTACGGTTGGACCAAATTTATGTAGCTGCATTTAGCTGAACCACACTCACTGTCATTGACGTATATATTGACTTACCATGGTCAGGCAAGGTACAAACTGAGAACCTTTGGATTCGAAAGTGGACATGTCTTTTACCACTAGAAGAAACTATGTGCTATGGACTTAGAAGTGTATCAAAATGCAGTGAGATATCTTCACACGATAATTCTGTTCATATTCTCTATATCTGTTTTAAAAGTCATTTGGAGTCCAACTCTAGAGTAGATGTGTATAGTTAAGTATGAATTATGTGAAATATTCCTTTGAAGTCTTTTGTGGAATGTTTGTGTATAGTGTTGAAGAGAATATGGATTGATGGATCTTCAGTTTGTCTTCTGTTTTTTTACCAAAAACGTTGCTGTATCAGATCATATTTGAGGCATTATCAGTTTTACAATTTCTGAAGAATGTAAAAATCAACAAATTTTCAAAAGCCATGGAAATGTAATAAAATTGTCTCAAATTGCAACTTTATACAATTTTATCATTGCCATAACAAAACCAATACATTAGTTTATGTCTTTACCATAACAATAATAATACATCTTTGTATCATTCATACAAAGATGAAAGTCTGCTCAATATGATCAGCATTAGACTACTCTTGGTGAACCAGTGTACAATAACAATTTTGAGGTCCAAAATAAGCAATTCTGAAGTTTATTTACATAGAATCAAATACCATGTACTCCATTTCTGTTTGAATTGGCTGTTGAGCTAGAATAATTTGTTCTCTGCCTTCAATCTTTCTTATATTTATAGGAACTTCTTCTTTCACCTGAAAAATGAGTTGGCAAATATCTTGTTTGTATGAATGAACTATTGCTGCAACATAGATTATATAGTGTGGAATACATATTTTTCAATTTACGTTATTTTGAGAGAAAGATAGAGTGCAAATTATTGTTTGTTATCTGTTGTAGAAAATGTGTTCTTTTTTCTTGTAAGTAGTTGACAATTTTCCTAGATTTCATTATACATAATTTACATGTGCGTGTGACAGTTCAAGGGAAATAACTCCTGCATGCTTGATTTAGGTGGCATATCACATAAATGATATAGATGCATTTGTAGCAGCACTTAATACAACAGCACCATAAAACCTGTGCAATTTTCACAAAGGCCTAGTGTAGGATATGATATTAATTGATGTGTCGCCTAATGAGGGATTGGCTGAAATAAAACATGTATATTATGTAGAGGGAGAACTATTGTTATGTAACACTACAGAACAGATATTTTGTCTTTTATCATACATCAACTTTTTCTACAATAAATATGATGGGAAAAATGACTTCTGTTTGTATTTGTCTTAGTCATTAAATTTTCATCAATATTAACTTGTCTACAACTTGAACAGGAGCTATGACAACAGGTATTCCTGTTTTATATATTTGAAATAAGTCATTTAAATATATTTAGATTTCACTGCAAAAATGCATTCATAGGACTATGGACGCAATTGGATCAGCCTGATTTTGAAGTTTTTACTGGTGCCTCTATAACAGGACAACCGCTAAGATCAAACATTTTGATGATGTTAGGCTGTTCAATGAATCTTGTTTGCACTGCCGACATAAACACTTAAATATTGGAAATTTAAGTGACTATCTGTATTTTGGTCAATAATAAGTAAAAAAAAAAAAAAANTATAAGTGACTTTCTGTATTTTGGTCAATAATAAGTAAAAAAAAAAAAAATGAATATGAATATAAGAATTGAAAGGCATTTTGTCAATGTTCATACCGGTTTGAAGCAAATCGCTTAAAACATTCCATGAAGCCAGGAAATTGAAAATAAATGCCCTTCAATTCTTAAAGAAAAAAACACTTACAGTAAAGTGTATTAGAAAAGCCAACTGTCAGGAAATGGGTAATAAACTTCTACAAAGTGATAAGTGTTTTATTATATAAAGGTGTTGACATTTCTGATATTATAGAAGTCGGTTTGGCAATGTATACACTTTTATGAATACACTCCATGTATTGTGCAAAGAAAAAGTTTAATACTTTCTAATAAAACAAATCGGCATCATATTTCTCCAGTACTTTAACCAATCTCTGAAAATAAGAAATACATTTCACAGCAAAGAATATTTTGTCCATTCAACAATAGTGTCCATAAGTTAAGATATAAATCAGTTTTAAGATATTACCCTGTCATTTTGTATCAAAGACCAAACTTTCACCTCAGTATGATATCTAACCCCCTTTCATTTACGTTTTCCAAGAATGTGATGAATCTAGTTCTGTACTTGTGGTTACATATGATCATAGTTTAGCAGTATTTTTCATGATTTGAATTCTGGAAATTGAATAATAAAAAACATTTATAAGATGTGTCACTATTACACATGCTCAGATATTTTGGGAAATGTTTTGGTTACTTTGAAGGCTTTATGCTCTCTTACATATAATATCTCTCTCATTTGTGTTAGAGTTATCTCCCTTCTTTTTTAATTTAGAACTACTAGAGTAGTCTTGTACTTTTTCAGATGTATATGACACCTATTAATCATTAACAATAGTTGAACTCATTTAATGAGTTGTACAAGTCGATATATGATGCAAACATATCATAAACAGCCTGAATGGCCTATACACTCTTAGGTTAAAGAGCAGGATTATTTTAACTAAATTTTGTATAGATATCGGGTTTATTTTTTAAACCTTGTAGTGATCGATGCTATCAAACGAGTTCGCAAACTAGGTCTCAAAATTAGCCTCCCTCGAAATATTGTTCACTAACGTACGTTCTCTGCACTGAATATATGATAAGATCCAGTGGACGATTTTAACATGTTTCGATTATGAACTTGACTTTAAAATATGTTTTTTTTGTATGTGTATGTCTCACTTTAAAAATCGCTTCATACTACTATGAATTGTAATTGACAGTCTATATCACCATCTGTTGTTTTGAATTATTGTTGTAAGGAGATGGCTTCATAAGTTGTAATAAATCGTGCCAAATCCTATTTTCCAGTTTTGGTTGATAAAAAAATGTTTAAGTCATATGATAAAGTTCCCGCAAAAAGTTGACAGAGACTCGTAGTTTCCCCGTTTTAGTGTATCTTAATCGCAATTTGCTTATGTCTTCCCTATTTTGCGTTTTGGTCAGGTGGCGCAGTGGACAGCGCATCTTTTACCAAGGCGGCCGGGGTTCTCAGTATTACCTGATCGGGCGTGAAAAGGTATGGCGTAACCTGCACCACGTCAGTTTTCTCCGGGTACTCTGGCTTCCTCCCACATTAAGACCCCGTGCGCTAACATCCAAGCCACCAAGGGGATTAATATAAGTTGTAAAAACTTGTTTCATAATTGTTGTAAAGTAAATCAAGTTATATTTTTAAATGTTTCACGTCACGTCGTCTTTCCATTGGTTTCTTTGTCAATTCACTTTTGGAAGATCAATTTCGTCAAAAGTGGATGAAATTTGGCACAAAACTAGAGAATTATCCAGCGCTTCTCTTGGCAGTATTAATATAGTTATCTGTTTCATAGAATTCTAACAATGATGGGTTGATTGGCAATAGCAGTTTTTACGGCAAAACTTAACATTGTGTGTAAAACTATATATATGGGAATGACGTCGAAAAATTACCATGCATGCTGGGATGAAAAGTGCTATCAATACCAGAGCGTCAGTTAACATTACGTGGAAACCCCTGGATAGTTATCAAAGAGGAGATGTTAAGATTAAAGAGTTAATGAACATAGAATCAGATCCAATGGGAAAATGACAAAACGTGAAAAAGATAAGACACGGGTCGTAGTGTTGGCCTTAGTTTTGATTTCAAATACGTGAGTCAAGCTAGAAAACAAAACAAAACGGAAACGAAAGAGTCTTTAACCTATAATGGAATCAGTCATGTTCTTTTATTGGCATACTAACGTGGCGACCAGACAAATATGTTAACTGACTAGACATATTATCATAATTTAATCGTGTATTATTGGTGTTGCATGGCTAATTGCAATCAGCTTAAAAATAAACATGACTTTGGTTTATTATAAATAGAATCAGGAGCTAACGGGGGTTCTAAAATCATCGCTGCAACAGAAACTAGAACAATTAACTCATACAAATGGTTTACTTGGCAATATTGACGTGAACAGCAAATATATGAACAACATTTCAGTAAGTATCTCTGCCAGTAGCAAACGGTATGTCTAATCAACCCTAATGTAAGGCTTAGTCTCCGGTCTAATCCTTTTCGCGACTGTAACCTTTGGCTTTGTATTCATTGATAAATTAATTCTATACTATAAACAAGGTTTTTCAGGGGCATCTATTTTCCCTACAAACGCAGTTAAGATTTGGAGAAATAATAAAAAATGATAAAAACTAAATTAACAAAAATTGATAATTTAGAACTTTTCCCGACGAACCCCGTAAGGTGCCCCTAGTAACATTCTGTCCGTGACGTCACAATACTGACAGCCATCTTGCTTGTCTAATGTGAGTTGTGGAAATACTACAATCCACATATTTCCCTGTTGTCTCGCTGAAAGAGCGAGTTCAAAACAACTACTGCGATCAATGTGTAGAAATATACTGGTAAGTATTTCAAACTTGTCATTTTCAGTCTGTTTTTAGTCAAATATATGTTAAATTTCACGCAGACAAGCCGGTCAACCAGTGTATTAGAGAGTTATGACAAATATGCATGTTGAAAGTTAAAAGCATGATGTGTAACCGCCGTTAGCGTTGAAAGTAAACCAGTCAGACTTGGAGTAAATAGAACGAGCAAGATTTCTATCAATAATACCATGTCTATGACTCAACATAGTTCCTGCCTTGCCGTTTTCCTTTTCCAATGTACATCGGGCTGACGTTTTCGCGATTCATTCACTCCGTTTTGCATTCTACCCCATAGGCCTATAAATAATCGTTTGTCTGTCTCCGGTCATCTGGATGTTTTTACACACGTTCAAGATATATCTGGACAGAATTGTGTGTGCTATCGTGACATTACGTAACCATGGATGTTTACACACGGTTGATAAGTAGACGATGATACACCACGAGATGAAAGGTAAGGATGATGGTCACGGCTTGACCTGATTGACCCCGTGTTTGATAAGGTCACATGTACTGACCATACATACCGAACATGTGATGCCCTGTGGCAGTGCATGTCTACAAGAAAGAGCGATGTTATTACTGTATAACATTGTCACCAATAAGTGAATTACATGTATACTATTTCCCAATACACATGTTGCAATACACACCCGGGTGTATCCAGGACTCTCCTTTTCCATCCTTCTCAACAACAGGAAGCTACTCCATACTTGCCACCTTTTTGAAATTTCCATGGAGGAGATTACACATGCTCAGAATTAAATGCAAAATTATAATGTGTCTATACAACACTTGGGGGAAAAAATAACACTTTATAAGGACACCGTTTGAGCTGTTCTTTCAGGTGAAATCGTCAGACCTGAGTGAATAGAAATACTGTTTGGCAAAGCTGGTTAAAAATGATCAATTTTCCGGTCAAAATTGGGAGTCTCCCTCGGTGGGCCTCTTAAATAGGGAGAGTTGGGAAGTATGCTACCCGGGGATGGATGACCACCACTTCACACCTACATTGAAACACATGTTGTATTAATATGTGTTTTATATATATGTTTATAATACATATCATGATACACCAAGATCCGCTTAAAAAGTCAACTTTTCGTAATTATTGTCTGCAGAACTATACAGTTATTGTTGTAGACCCAATTGTAAATACTGTCAAAACATATTCTTGTATGAATTTGAGTTCTTACGTTTATGACTGCACTTGTACAGTGGATCACATCTTTACTGAATGATTCCAAAACAATAAGTACTCTTTTGTTAGAACTTGGAATCTATTAAAAAAAAAAATTGATTGATCATTTCAGTAAGTACTGTTAGTGTATCATGATACAGACAAACAGTGATACACAATTTCATATATAACATACAGGAAAGTAACAATAACTTTGGTTCTGAAGAGTGTTGTGTTGCCAGGGAAAGAAAATTTTTGACTCCCCAACACTAGATTTGATCTTGGGTTTGAACAGACATGTTTATTTGACATATGTTTTGAGCCTCACAATTTCAGGGGAAGCTTATAACCAATTGACTTCTGAAGCTAATGCCTGACATAACTCTTCATGCATGTTGTCAGATGGCAAGAAATTCATTAAAAAATTTGGGGGATCAAATACTAATTATATCCATTTTAAATTAAGCATGCCTTAATTAAAGTGTTGTTGGACTGACTTGGCATACCTGGATATCAGTTGTCTGTTAAAC